AAAGAAAGCTTTAGTTGTGTGACGAAAATTATAAAATTTTAGTTTGGGTACAATGTTGTATGACCGCGCAATTGTCATTCAAAGTGTGAGAGCGCTGAAACCTGAAAAATGGCCTGGGCAGGAAGGGGGTAAAAGTAACGAAAACTCTGTATGGAAGTTGTTAAAGAGTGTGTGAGCACTTATGAAACATGGAAAAAAAGGGTATTTGTAATGTTTTTTTTTTTTTATATATATATACATAAAAGTTTGGCTGTCATTTCTATGTATTTTAAACTGAATGGATTGTTTTACAAGGTGCGGGTTTTAAATATACTTTCATGCTATACTAAAATCTTTAACATGAACCCAAAAAATCCTCTGCTCTACCAAATTTAACAAAAAAAAGAAGTATATTATTGTGTATTATAAAATAAACCTAGGTTGAAGCTGTGTCACTGCTATGCACTTTATTTACTGAAGAAAATATTTAACATGCGGACATACCTAATGTGTAATAGGGAATGTATGTGCATCTTTTAACTGCAAATATGGATCCTGCCATCTACCTCTTCACCCAGCCATACGTCATGTCTCCCCCTAATTCCCTTATGCGATGCATACTTGCAATCCTTCTCAAGCCTGCAAGCTTTTCCCTGTTTTTAACAGCATCCATTTCCCCCATATGGGATTGTCCAGTGACCTGTTCATGCTTCCCTTCATTCAGACTTCCCCAGCTCTGTGGCTTTATCACCTACATGCCCAAATTTCTCTCCCCTCACCCAGAATCCATTCTCCTGTCCCCCAACGGGGTCACTCTAGCTCATTCATGCTCCTCCTCACTCAGAACCCCATCTTCCTGTCCTATTGACTATGTTTTTGAGCACCCTGGTCCTCACTTCAATCCTGACAAAGGCTTACCTTACAGCACCCTTGACCCCACCCAAAGTCCCTTATCTGGGGTGTCATTTGCCCCCCCCCCCCCTCAAGTCTTCCAACACTTCCTCCTTGAATATCTATTCTTCTACTCCCCAACAAGTCACCCAAAAACAATTATTCTGCCCATACTCTAAACTCCCACCACCTATCTCTGTGTCTTCATCACCCACACCCCCTTATTACTACCCACCCAGTTAGGTTTCCCACTTTTTGGCCCAGCCTTTCCTTCCAGAAACCTTACAATTGCACAACTGACACTTTACCCACTATACCACCTCCAGAGATGCTTGCAATAGCTGCCAAAAATTATGACCTAATCAGACTTAGGTTTTTTGGCATTACAGAAAACTTCAGCAGTTGTGATGTGTGCTCTATATCTACTTAAAGCTAAGTATAACCCACTTGGGATTCAAACTCATGCCATTATGTTTGCACAACTGGTACTTTACCCACCGCATCATCTCCAGAGATGCTTGTGAAGGGTCCCAAAAATTAGAACGTAATCAGATGAAGGCTTTTTTTTGAGTTACAACAAATTTTAGTAGCTGAGATGTGTGCTACTACTTCAAGCTAAATATTGCCTATCTGGCAATTGAACTGATGACCTTTCATTGTACAACTGGCACTTTGTCCACTGCACCACCTCCTGAGGTGTTTGATAAAGACCTTATTTTTTGGATATAGATTTACTTTTCACAAAGCATATCCCAGGGACCTCAGGTCTCAGGGTTCTCCATATTATGCACAGAAGGGTTGATGTTCTCACAAACAGCTATGCTTGAAATGGTTATAGTGTATCTTCTCCTAGCTCATAAAGAACACTAAAATGTTTAGCAGTGTCACACCAAAAGCTACATGTTTATGGTTTACAGTCCTCACTCATCCAGACCCAACAGTTGTCCACACTGCCCTTGCTCTTAGCAGTTTTTGAGGAAGAGGTGGATTTTTCAAGGCAGCTCAACAGAACACATTGGCTTGGACAGCCTTCTGATCTCAGACTGAAGAGCACAAACCAAGGAATTTAAAAGAACTGTTTCACCATGTAGACTAGAAATCTGCATACAGACAGGACAGCTTCCAATGAACACCATGAAAAAACAACTTTCAAGCAAGTATTGCAAGGAAATAAACCAGAATATTTAAATACATACTAAACCAAAATGTATTACATAAACACATACAGTCATAGCCAAACATATTGGTACTCCTGCATTTCTGTCAGATAATGTACCACTTCGCCAAGAAAATTGTTGCAATTACAAATGTTTAGGCATTCTTATTTCCTCTTTATTATTTTTCTTGTTGGTGTTGGTATGACACAAAAAAGTGGGGGAAGCAAAAAGCCAAATCTGACACATCCACGCAAAACTCCAAAAATGGACTGGAAAAAATTATTGGCACCTTCTGAAAATTGTAAGAAATAATTGCATTCCAAGTTTGTTATGCTCCTGTAATTTGTAATTAAACTCACCTACATAACATCACACCGGTGACCAGTTAAAATGGTGAGAAATTGACTCAACCTTTCTGTTGTTAGTCACTGAGTGTCACATGGAGCATGTAGAGGAGAAAGAGAATTGTCTGAGGATTTGAGAACATAAATTGTGGAAAAGCATGAACAATCTCAAGGTTACAAGTCCATCTCCAGGGATCCTAATGTTCCTGTGTCCACTGGATGCAACATTGTCAAGAAGTTTACAGCACCTGGCACTGTAGTTAATCACCCTGGACTTGGACAAAAGAGAAAAATTGATAAAAATATTGCAATGAAGGATTGTTCAAATGGTGGCTAAAGAACCTCGATCAACTTCTGGACAAATTCAAGCTGACCTTCAGGCACAGGGTACAACTGTGTCAGCTCGCACTATACGTAGCAATCTGAATGAAAAGGAATGCTATGGTAGGAGATCCAGGAGGACCCCACTGTTGACACCGAAACATAAAAAATCCAGATTGAAGTTTGCCAAAACTGAACTGAGGAAGCCAAAACCCTTTTGGGAGAAAGTGTTGTGGACATATGAAACAAAATTATAGCTTTTTGGTAAAGTCCATCATTCTACTGTTTTCAGAAAAAACAAATGAGAAAAGAATAGTCCCTACAGTCAAACATGGTGGACGTTCACTAATGTTTTGGGGTTGTTTTGTGGCTTCAAGCACTGGATGTCTTGACCGTGTGCATGGCATTATGAAATCTGAAGATTACCAAATAATTCTGGGGTGCAATGTAGGGCCCCGTGTCAGAAAGTTGGGTCTCCGTCAGAGGATCTTACAGCAGGGCAATGACCCAAAGCACACGTTAAAAAGCACCCAGACATGGTTTAAGAAAAAGCACTGGATAGTTCTGAACTGGCCAGCAATGAGTCCAGATCTCAATCCCATAGAGCACCTGTGGAGAGATCTCAAAACAGCAGTTGGGAAAGGGAACCCTTCCAATCTGAGAGACCTGGAGCAGTTGGTGAAAGAAGAGTGGTCCAAAATTCCAGTAGAGAGTTGTTAGAAACTCATTGATGGTAACAGGAAGCAATTGGTTTCAGTTATTTTTCTGAAGGGGTGTGTTTCCGAATATTAAATTGAGGGTGCCCAAAATTGTATCCAGTCTTTTTCTTATAGATATATGGTTTGTATGGTTTTATAGATATAAAATTATGTTAACTTGTTAAAAAAAATTTTTAGTGATTAGGTGTGCATATATTTTAAAGGTTATTTTCCAGGTTTCTGTCTCTTGAGTAACTTCATTCATAAATGGTAGAAACAACCTGCTACATTCTTTGAGTTCATGGATCTAATTGCCCTTTGCTGTGTGTTGTAGCTTGTGCTATCATTAACCTTCAATCTATTTCCTTTAAATGTTTGCTTAAAGAAGAAGCATGTGAGGAAGTTACGTACTTGAATTGCTAACCCCTCTCCCCTTGTTTGAGTCATGAAGGATGCCAAATGTGAAGCAGAAGGTTGTCAAAGATGAGTAGGATCTGAAGTGAAAATTCTGAGCAGTAATACAAAGCAGAGGGCTTTCCCCAGGGATCTATTTATCTTTTAAGCAGTCTTGTGAACTGCTTTTAGTATCAGGTGCATCATCTTGAGAAACCATTGTACATTCCAAGTAAAATTAGTTTTATGTTCCCACATAAAAAGGACCACAGCCAGGTGGCAGATCAATATATGACTACACCGTGTAAAATAAAAAAGTGCAGCTTACAAGAATTTATGTGAGTATTTATTAGAGATGCCTTTCCTATGTAAATCATGGACATGTGTAAGCATTGGTTAATTTATGTGACTACAAAATCCTTGAAACTGCATAACAAATTGTGCCTTGCAAAATTGAATCATGCCAAAACTTTGCAGAGTAAAGTTCCAGCACAGCTTAATTAACCTAATGTGTCTTGTATATTGTAGATGTTTACATGAAGATAGATACAAGATGAAGGACTGTGACTGACATCAAGCATCTGTTTAATGACTTCAGTGTACAGAATTAGGTCTTAAGAGTGTATGTTATCCACCACTATGCAGGTGTTGCTAGTCCTAAATAATGCTCTGATGATGCCACAAAATACAAATATAGAACAGTCAATTGCCTAGTAGTTAATATCTTGTTAGATTAAACAAAATTTAAGGTGCTGCCTCTAGTTATGTTCAGATAATTTTGCATTTATAACCCTTTTAACATTAATCCACTGAGAGAAAAAGCAGTTTATCTTTCCATCTGTTCAGACCACTGATCCAATCAATCCACAATAACTGAACTAGGCATGTGCATGGGAGGCTGAAAGGAGTCATCAACTCATACATATACACCTGTGATGTGAGGAGACATCTTGAGTAGACTATGAGGTTGCTTTACTAAAACTGGAGAGTGCAAAATCTGATGCAGTGCTTCCTGGAAGCCAATTAGCTTCCACTTTTTTTCAAAGCTTAATTAACCACCTCCCGCCCACCATATAAGGTAATGATGGGCGCAAGGCGGTTCTCTCATTCTGGGAAGACATCATATGACGTCCTCCCATTCTAGCCACGCATGCGCGGCTCCGGGAGTGCGCAGCGCGGCGACCGGTGGTGCGCTGTGTCCCTCGGACACAGCAGATCACCGATCTACGGAAAGAGCCGAAGATGTCAGCTCAGTCATGTGATCAGCTGTGTCCAATCACAGCTGATTGCATGTAAATAGGGAAATGCCGGTTATCATCATTTCTCTCCACACGAGCTGTCACGCTGACAGCTCGAGAGGAGAGGAGAGCCGGTAATCGGCATCCCTCAGAGGGGACATGTGCACTGATCATCAGGGCACTGATGATCAGTGTGCCTTGATGATCAGTGTAGCCCCAGCTGTGCCACCTGTCAGTGTCCATCAGTGCCAGCTGTCAGTGCTCATCCATGCCACCTGCCAGTGTCCATCAGTGCCACATCAATGCTACATATCAGTTCCTACCAGTGCACATCAATGCCACATATCAGTGCCCATCTGAGCTTCCTTTCGGTGTCACCTATCAGTGCCAGTCAGTGCCACCTATCAATGCCAGTCAGTGCCACCTATCAGTGCTGCCAGTCAGTGCCGCCTATCAGTGCGCATCAGTGCTGCCTATAAGTGCGCATCAGTGCTGCCTATCAGTGCCTGTCAGTGCCGCCTATCAGTGCGCATCAGTGCCGCCTATAAGTGCGCATCAGTGCTGCCTATCAGTGCCTGTCAGTGCCGCCTATCAGTGCCGCCTAACAGTGCCAGTCAGTGCCACCTAACAGTGCCAGTCAGTGCTGCCTATCAGTGCCAGTCAGTGCTGCATATCAGTGCCACCTATCAGTGCCCACCTATCATTGCCATATATGAGTGCTGCCTTTCAGTGCCCATCAGTGATGCCTGTCAATGCCCATCAGTGCCACCTACCAATGCCTCCTCATCAGTGCCACCTATCAGTGTCCATCAGTGCAGCCTATCAGTGCCCATCACTGCAGCCTCATTAGTGCACATCAGTGAAGGAGAAAAATTACTTATTTACAAAATTTTATAACAAAAACTAAGAAAAAAACTTTTTTTTTCAAAATTTTCAGTGGTTTTTGGTTTGTTTAGCAAAAAATAAAAAACCCAGAGGTGATCAAATACCATCAAAAGAAAGCTCTATCTGTCTAAAAAAATGATAAAAATTTCATATGGGTACAGTGTTTGCATGACCGCGCAATTGTAATTCAAAATGCGACAGCACTGAAAGCTGAAAACTGGCCTGGGCAGGAAGGGGGTATAAGTGCCCTGTAGGAAAGTGGTTAAACAAGCTGAAGTTAGAAGCTGATTGGCTACCATGCACAGCTGCACCAGAATTTGCACACTCCAGTTTCAGTAAATAAACCCTATGTCCCTTTGTGTTTGCAAGAGTGGCTAAAGGTTGGGCCCTACAAGCCTCAGAGATCATTAGGGCTACAAACAAAGAAAAAGACAAATGGTAAGTACTTTTTTGGGGATATTTAAACCTGAACTCTGGTCAGCTGATATAAATTCCCTTTTAAGTGCCCCCACCCCACCCCACCCCATATAGGAATACTCTTATGTTTGTTATGTCTACTTACTCTTGTCCCCCAGCAACTGTCACACTCTGTGCTGCTTGTAATGGCCCCATATGTGGGTAGGCCAACTGCCCACCATCTTCACATACAATGCAGAACTGCTGGTTGAAGATGGCAAGGGGCCATTGATATAACATGCAAAGAGACATGGCTTCATGAGACCATTCATTCAGTGGAGAGGGATCCTGCAAAATGAATGAATAGGGTATGTATTTATGTCTATACATTCCTCCTAGACTACATAAACATTAGAGCCTAACTATGCAGGGAAGGGAAAAGCTACTGAAATAGAATTTATATCAGCTGACTGGAGTTCAGCTTTTTTTTTTTGCAAAATTAGTAGACCTTTTTTTATGCCCAAGGGTCTTTTGAATTTGTAAACCACCAAGGAGTTGAGATACAAACCTTCTTATACATCACAATTAGGGATGAGTTCAATATTCACTAAGTTAAAAATCCTTACAGAGGAAAAACAATTCATATATTTGTATTTCAGCTGTGCATTTAACTATACAGTGTGGCTATAGTTGTACTTTAAAGAGAGAGTTCTGCTTGTGGGAGGTCATTAATGGCCTATATTACCATTTCTAATAGAAAATAAAATTATAGTTCAAATGCGTGTGTGTTTAAATCCAAGTCACAGGGACTTTTACCAAAGACAAACTGCCTGTTGTAGGCATGTTAAGGAATAAGCAGGGGCGGACTGACCATTGGAGAACTTGGGCGCTGCCTGAGGGCTGGGGTCAGTAGGGGGCCCCATGAGATGCCCCTGGTACCTTTCCTATGCTTTTTTTGGGTGTGGTTTGAGTGTGGGTGAGGTCACAGGGGGCCCATGATCCCCTAGTGCCCGAGTGTCTGTCCACCCCTGGGAATAAGTAAACTTTTTTTTCCAAAACATTTGCAAAACAACAGCAAAACACTTCAAGATTCAAGAGTGCTTACAAATAGTCTTATGAGCAACCACTGCTGTGCAAAACACTGACAAATTAAATCTGAGGCTGGGGGTAACATGTGTGTCATCCTCTGTGCATGGGAGTTCTTTATCTGAGCAATGTCATAGGGAGTGGTATATGCTTTTGACAGTATACAAGTGATGAGTATCTACCAAGTTAATGGGAAATAAAATAAACTTACTTCAGCCTACTTGCGAAATTTTTGGGCCACTTATAAAAAAATTCTTGGGTCCTTTCACAGCTATGGACTTGGGCTTTCACCTGGCTTTAATATGATTTTTTTAATGATATTTATTTAGTGAATCCGGACTGCCCATGAAAACGTTTCTAAAATCTAAAATAGAATAAAACAACATAACGAGTGCTAATTTGTTCATTCTAAGTGGTTGATCTACTAAAGGCAAATAGACTGGGCAGTTTGCAAAGTGCATTTGCACTCTGCAAGAGCAGTTGCTCCACAGCTTAGCAAATGAGTAGAAGCTTTGCTGACTTTCATCATCCAAACATGTGCAAGCAAAAATGCAGGTTTTTTTTTTCTATTTTCCTTGCATGTGTTTAAGTATTCTTTGCAAAGTGAAGCTTTACCTTATTTACTAAGCTCTGGAGCAACTGTACTTGCTGAGTGCAACTGCACTTTGCAAAGTGCATAGTATATTTGCCTTTAGTAAAACAACCCCTATTTGTGGCTTTAAAACTAAATAAGTATGCTAAAATACAATGTGAAAAAGCTTAAAAAACATGAAATACTAATAGTAGAAGATAGATAACATATTTTCCTTTATAATATTAACCAATATGTCAGGGCTACAATTTGAAAACAGCAGTCAAGATAGATACTATAGTTGCCCATAACAGGTAAGCAGATTCCAAGGTTCATGTCTTTAGACCAGGACAGAGAATAAAGAAACATTATGATTAGATGCCATGGGCAGAATTCTCATTTCTCTTTTGCATTGGTTTTCATAAAGCAGCTTGGAAAACCAACATAAACAAAGAAAATGTTGTAACATAAAATTTGGCATATGGTATGAGAAAATTTTTTATATATATATACTGTATATATATATATATATATATATATATATATATATATAATATTCTTTGCTTCGTTTTCAAGTTATGGTTTGTTTTTAGTTTTGGTAGTTTTCAGTAGGCTCTAGATAACCAGGAGGACTGATCTCTCTTATGTCTGATATGTTTATCACATTCCAGTTGTTGGGAAAACAACAGCTGTGTTTCAGCTATCTAAAAAAATCCCCTGACCTCCAACTGAGGCAAGCTGGGAATAAAGACAGGACGTCTTTGCACGAGATGCATGGGCGAAAAATAGGATTTCATAATGGATTACAAATTGGCTAACAAACAAATTTACAGCTATTATACATGATAATCTGTGTCAAGATGTGGCTTTATGACAGCTTGCTTGGGAGGAGTGGTTAACACATGTTGCAAGAGCTGTTTCAAGTCCAAGCTCATGAGTGCTGTAAGTTTCAGTTGTGTTAGAAGCCATGTGTTTTGGTTCTGTTACAGTTGGAACACAGTAAGTGCCTTGTTAAGTGTGGTATGTCATGGTTACAATACTAAAGGGAGGTAGGGAGGCATGTCTCGTCAGTAGGAATAATGTGATGAACAAAGGGAATTTACATGCAATATGTACATTTCCTGGGCCAGTTCCTGCACACACTTTTCCAGTTTGACTAATAAGAGCATTAGGTCAAATCATTTAACAGACATGCTACTTCCATATTTCATCAAGGCTTTGTCACAGTTGGTCTGTGCAAATGTTTCCATCATTTAGATATTAAATTGTGTGATGTATGGGGGTGCTATTTATCACCCGGACAAGTTATTGATTGGAGCAGGAGGTCATCTGAACGTATTTGTTTCATTAACATTTTTGCTATGGCAGTCTGCAACATCAGCCATTCAGGAAAGCTTGGGAGGTCCCCATGAGTAATGACTTACACACTACCAAGGAAGTGCATGCCGGACTGTATTTTTCAGCAATTTTGTACATACATATTTAAGACACATGGCCCAATAGTTATTACATCAAAGTTCTATCAAAGACACATGCTGCTCTTGAGATGTTCCCATATTATATGAGAATGTCTGACGTCCAAGTGAAAGCCAAGGGAAAACAAAATTCTTTTTACAAATAATTACTCACAAAATTGTTGTCTCAGTTGTCCTGACCACATGAAATAAAAAAAAAAATTGTAGCAATTCAATTTTGTTACTAAATAGTTATAGTCAAATATAGATGTGACTGCTATGCTAGGTTACTGCATCAAATTTGATGATTGCTTCTGATAGTCTGGTTACATATGGTTCTTTGCAGGTATGTCAAACTTAAATAAAAGAAAGTGCAAAGGCATTTGAAAGCATACTGCATTTAACTTGCTTCTTAATATGCCCACAGACATTAACTCATAACAGGAAATTATGTTTTTTTAGTCAATTCTAATATTTTTAAGACCTTACAAGCTGATATAATTCTAGTAATTTTAATAAAATGTTTAACAAACAAACACTGATTTACAAAGTGCTTCCATGGGATTAAGTTTGCAAAGTATACTGGGCTATCTGCTGAAAGCCATTTCTGAATCATACAGCCGTCTTTCTAATCTGATCTGTCCTGAGTTTCTGGTCTATTTCGCAGCCTAACTGAAAATAAGCTGGAAGAAGCTACTAACCGCACTCAGAGTTTGCCAACTGCTGGCAGCATAATAAAAAATATTCATATATGACAGTTAATATTAACCTTATAAGTGTCAATTACTCGACTCGTTAGCAAAAAAAATGTTGTGTGGCAGTGAAGCCCTATCTATACAAATTGCTACAGAAATCATGTCTAGTCTGTAAATCAAGGAAAATTGATGTTTTGTTTCATGACATAGTCCATTTCATGTTTAATTTTTACATTCATAAAGTCATCATAAAGGCTAAAGGTTGTTTACCTTAATGTATTATCTGCATTAAGGTAAAAAA